AAGTACTGGCGACTGTGACCTGCCAGAGTATTGCAATGGGACTTCCCCTCAGTGCCCGCCAGATGTGTACATACAAGATGGAACCCCTTGCGAAGATGGTGCTTATTGCTATCGAGGAAAATGTTCTTCCCACAGTAAACAGTGCCAGCGTCTCTTTGGCAAACAAGCCAGGGCTGCTCCTTTAGATTGCTTCAAAGCAGTGAATACTCGAGGTGACCGGTTTGGGAATTGTGGTATTCGTAAAAATATCCATTTTACAAAATGCAGTATTGAGAATGTCTTATGTGGTAGGATCCAGTGTGAAAACATAGACAAACTGCCTTTCTTGCAGAACCACGTAACGCTAGTCCAAACCCCTGTTGGAGATAAAAAGTGTTGGGGTCTCGACTATCACATAGGGATGCCAATAGCTGACGTGGGGGCTGTGGAAGATGGCACGCCATGTGGTAGGGATCTGCTTTGTATCAACAGGACATGTACCAGCATATCTTTGCTGAACTACGACTGTAACGTGACAAACTGTCATGACAGAGGAGTGTGTAACAATCGTAAGAACTGTCACTGCAGGTATGGCTGGGCTCCTCCGTATTGTGAACAGGAAGGATTTGGAGGTAGCGTTGACAGTGGACCCCCTCCATCCAGGGAGATTTTTCAGGGAGCAAAAATAAAAGTAACACTACTGAGTCTTCTTGTTCTGGGTATCCTTGGAGTAACACTTACCATATGTTATAAATGGGAAATAGTGGGATGGCTTAGGAGGAAAAAGGCCCAATTCCACAGAAGAAGATAGCAGTTGTTTCAAATACTGGAAGTGGCGGCAGTTCCTACAGGAGAATGCCTGCTGGTGAGTCAAAATCCACCACAAAGCACTTGCCGAAGACCAACAAGCAGTAGTTTTGGATGCTCCTGGGGAAACCTCCCTTGAGCAGGGCCAGCTGATAACTCATCAAAATAATTCAACACATTCTGAATAGTTCTAATCTCATGTGATATCATTAAATGCAGAGGAAATGTTATCTTTGTTTATTTTAAGTTAATAAATGCAGGCAGTAAGGCATGCTGTTCTTTTTTTTCTTTGCACCTTGAGCTCTTAAACAGAAGTAGTTAGGTAAACTGTAGGTATAGCTTTTATGCTTCATATCAACAGTTTACAAACGTAAACTTCTTAAAACAGGTGTAAATGATTTGCTCCAACTTACTTCTTCATCTAATATTTTCTCCAGTTCAGGGAGAAAGAGGTTTGTGAACATCTTGCTTCTGTCATTCATTAATAACCAAAGAGAAAAAATTGCTCTTGCAGTCTCCATGTAATTCTCATCTGTGACATGCAAGCAGGCAAGAGACAGGTATTGCAGGGAGATTGCAGGTGTCTGTGGCATAAGCCCTTCCAGCTGTTTCCAGGGAGTAGCCTGTCAGGAGGGAGGTAGATCACAGGGAACAGGGTCTTCATCTTGTGAGACGGCAGACAGGTATTACCCAGATCACGACAGTATGTTACATTTCTGAACCATCAGATATATGTCAAGAGTGTAGTGACACCAGACTTGACATTTCACAAGAACAAACCATCTTTCTTTTCTGGATACTTTCCAATGCCTTGACTGCTGGGTTCGTCTGAGAAGTGCTGTGTGTTTTATTGTTGCTAAGAGGAGCTGTCTGTGAGGCTGCACACGTTAACTGGATTTCTAAAATACTTGGAACTACTCTGCAAGTCTCCCCCAAGCAGAATTCCTGCAGTATTTGATAGATGTTTTATCTAACTATCTTGGGAGGGGGCAGGGGGGGAAGTTCTCTGGGTTTACTATGTGATTGCTTTGTAGGCTATTACTGAATGCGTCTTGCAGCTCTACAGAATGCCATGCATAAGCATCGTATTTTTCATTTTTTAACAGGAGGTAAAATGTGTCTAACTTACGGAAAAAGCAGGAGGGACGTGAAAATACCATTCAATACATTTTATTTTTATTATTTATATTACAGCAGTGACTAGATCAGCATAAAGAGGAGTCTGTAGTCCAGACTTACAGTGAAAACTTTATTTTAAAAGACTGGTGTTTCTGGATTAAGGGCTATAATGCACTTGTCTGCTACCAAAAGACTTACTTGTATTTGGAAAGCAAAGGTGGCATTTTTAGCAAACATTCTATAAAGGCCGGATAAGTACCTCAACACTTGAAACATTTGGGAAGATGCTGGTGACTCTAAAATGATGACGGTGAAGTCTTGCTGCCTCCCAAGTATGTCATTTCTGTTTTCAGAATACAAATTTTCTTGTACTTTTTTTTTAATTATTGTGTTCTGCATCCAAGAAGGGCAGGTTACGTTATGATTGGATGTGAAACACAAAGGATATGATTCACGGTTCTTTAAGGATCCATTTGCTTTAGACAAAAAGCCTTGAACTGTTACCTGTATTTGTCTGGGGAGATGAGGTAACACATTGTTCAGCAGCCTACACTTGGTATCTTGATAGAATGTGGATGGTTTTGATTAGATGAAGATTTTGCTTTTTCAATACATAAGCACCAGCGCCAGAAGTCCTAGGCTGCCACCTTGATGGCCTGCTGTGTTGATTAATAGCGTACCGTAAATTGCCGAGTATAGATCTGTGCTGAGACCAGAGAAATGTTTAGAGTCAGAGAGTTCTTATTTACTGACCTGCATACTGCACAGACAGAGGTGTAAATGAAACACAGTTTAGGCTAGAAAGCTTACTTGCAAATGCGGTTTTGGAAGAGACAAAGCAATAAAATGCTATAGTTTCCATTTTTCTCTATGCTTAAAGATTGATCTAAAAACCCATGACTGTTAATTGGGAGGAGGCTTTCAGCAAGCTTTGGACAGGAGTATTTCTGTACACTATTCTTCCATTTCTGCTTAGGCCTCATGAGCAAGACGAAAGTGCATCCTCACAAACCTAGTCTATATTTTATAAAATGTGTGAGCTCCCTCGCTAAGGTTTTCTCCTTGAAAATATTGTTTCTGATTTCACCATAGCAACGAATAACTTGATACTTCTGGTGGTTTGTTAGATGCGTCCCACTACTCTGTTGCAGTGTGAAGGTGCAAGTCTAAGTTCAGTCCTAATCATTCTGGCTTCCCCCCCTGTTTTTTTCTCCTGATTTTAATTGCCTTTTTAAATGTTTTAAATGGATGCGAAAACTTGGCTAATGTAGAAGTCACTTCATCATGGAAGAGGCAGCCTGCAAATGCTGTTGTGCCATCTCCCAAGAGATGCTGGTCAGTCTAGTATGTGAAACGGTGCTGGGGGGAAGTGTCTGACTGTGAAGACCCATGAAATGGTTTCTGCCAGAGCACCAAGGTATGAAGTCTTAGGTAGCTGTTAACATGTGGTGGGTGAAGCCTGGAGCTGCTTCGGAGTAAGTAACAACAATTTGCCTGTGTTTCTTGTTTGAAATCTCTTCCTGGCTAAACAAGACTTTAAAAAAAAAAAAAAACCAAACCCGTCTTAATATTGCATTTATCTCAGATCAAGATGAAATTGGTTTTGTTCTAAGCCAAGACTGTCATCTCTCAGATACATACTGTTCCTTAGAAGCAGTTTAAATGTATCTTCACAGAGTGTGCCAAGTATGGTATTACTAGAACCTGAGTTCGGAGAAAAAATAGTTGATGGCCATTGTACAAGTTTTGCTTTCCAGTGTTCTTAACCATTGGCAAAAAATAAGTATAGATATCCAGGACAATATAAGTGTGGAAACTGGACTGAAACAGGTGTGAAACTGCATGCTGGCCTTAAATGGTTTAAGTAGTCCTCCTATGATAGACAAGCCGTGGTTTTGCTCATCTTTCCAAGTGTAATGAGGGCTTGAATGCTTGTCTCCCACCTCTGAGGCAGGTGTTCTAACACTCAGCTGAGCGCTAAGCATTAATGTTGTAGCATTAAGGCACGTGGCACACTTCCTCTAACCCCAGAGATCCAGCACCCAGGCTGGCTCTCCGTATTAAATTCAGGTATCCAAGAGTGTAGATAATCTTGGAATGAATACAGTCAAAAATATGTCATCCATACTGCAATACAGAACAAACAAATCAGTAGTCTCAAGTTCAACACGGAAGACCAGAGCACCTGGTCCTCCTTTTCTTCGGAAAAGTTCCTGCAGTGTGTAGATGTGGGTGTCCCAATAGTGCCAAGCAGTTAGGTCATTACATTGCACCTGGCCCTGTTCATTGTTCCCTGTGGCCATTATCCGTTGTTGCCACACTTGTGGCATGTGCTGAAATAGATAAGGATAAAGTTTAATAAGGAAATAAACAGGGATAAATTTTGCCTTGCTGTCTCTTTCCCAATCATCTGTTGGTTCAAGAACTCCCTGAGGTACAGGAGTCCCAAGTTCAAGTGGCTCCTCTGTTAGACGGAAAGCTGGACTACTTTGCCTTTTCTTGCTAGGTCATTATCTGTTCAGTCGAGTTTTGAGGAAATTGAACATCTTCTGCAGGACACAGTTAAGTATTCACTGTTCCCAGCAGTGTTGGTCAGCACAGCGGTTCCATGTGCTATTTACGGTTTGGAATTATGTGGTAACAGAGTTACTACACACCAATTCTACCTCTGTATTGCACCGCCGGATGACTTGGAGCGGGCACGGATGCCCTCTGTGCTACCTAGCTGCACGGGGCTTTTGCTGCTGTGCATCGCTGTCTGATGTTGTGTGGCCCGTCGGCTCCAGTTAAAAGGGCTGGGAGCAGGTCACACATCTCTCCATTTATCCGCTACATCCTTAACCTTAAGGAGAAACTCACCTCCACTGCGCGGAGCAAAGGGAGGCTGGGCAACCGCGCTGTGCAGGGGCAGGGGGCTGCGGGCAGGACGCTGTGGAGCCCTGGCAGGCAGGGAGGGTTCCCTGGGGCCCGGTCCTCTTCCACCTCTGTGGTGGGAGCCCATCGCAGGGGCCTTAGGGGGCCGGAGGGAGAAGCCCCGTTCCGCAGGCCGCCGCAGCTCCCGGGCCCTCGGCCCGAAGGACGTACCGCTCCCCAGGCGCCTACTGGCAACCGCTTCTGATGGCGGGGGCCCCCCCG